AGTTATTTTATTGCCTTGCATAATCAGTACGTTATTTCGTACTGATGTCCCTCTTTCCGGGGATGCTACATTTCATGCGTGTAGGTTCAGACAGACAGACGGGTAGACCTCCTCAGTAGGTATTGCCCGAGTTCAGCTTTATCAGTAAGCTCCACGTCCTTCGGAGTTGCCAAGTCTATAGTTTTATTTACATCTTGTGTATGTATGTATATAGGTTATGGGTAGGTCGGGGCCCTATTCCGATCACAGTACATCTATCAGTAGAGGCTTGTAGATATATCCTGTCAGTTAGTGCAGTATGTTGGCTTGTAGGCCTTGTATGTATATTCTGTTGGTTTGTCAGCTATAGTAGTTATGACGGCCTTGTCGGACCAGCTTTATATTGATGTTTAGTCAGCGTTAGCTTCCATTCAATTTTATATTTTGCTTCACAAATTGTTTTGCAATGTGGCCGTGGCCAAAGTATGACATTATATGTTCAGAGTCCCTTAGTCGCAAGTTGGTACGCAAGGATAGGTGAGGCACCGAGTTCCAGTCTCGCCCCTCTAGGTTCGGGGCGTGACATTTTATTCAATATGAGGTTTACTACTGGTATTGTTTTTTTTAGCAGCTACTATGATCGGGAATTATTGCTACGAGTATGCGAGTTGTGTGGTATATCATGTGATTACTTCTTGAGTTATGGTTATGGTTTGATACAGTTTGTTCAGACTTATACAGTGTGTAGATGCGAGATTCGGGTCTTGTAAGGAATTCAAGATATTGGAAATTGGGTTGTAGGGATTACAGACTAATGTTAAAGTAATGATCTTCAGTATGTTGTGTTGTCATGCTTACATAGATTGGAGTGACGTGGGATCACCCCTGGGTATGTGCATGGTAAGGTTACATAGTGGATTGATGGCCTTAGAATGACTTTTAGCACGTTCGAGGACAAACGTATATTTAAGTGGGGGAGAATGTAACGACCCGATCGGTCGTTTGGGCACTTGCATTCCGTTCATCTATTTGAAGTCTTTAGTACCTTCGTACGATGTATTATGACTTGTGTGAATCATCAGTTTTGGTTTTCAGGTAATTCCGAATTGGCTTGGAAGAATGAATTTCATGTTTGAAACTTTAAGTTAGAAGAGTTGACCGAGTTTGATTTTTGGGTATTTGACCTCGGATTGGAGTTTTAATCATTTCGTTAGGTCCGGATGGTGATTTTGTACTTGGGCGTATGCCCGGATTTGCATTTGGATTTTTCTAGAAGGATTCCGCACTAATTGACGAATGTTGGAAATTTGAAAGTTTTGAATATTCATAAGTTTGACCGAGAGTTGACTTTGATGATATCATGTTAGAATTATTGTTCTGGGGGTTGGAATAGCTTCGTTATGTGATTTGGCAATTTGAGATCATTCCGGGTTGATTTGATATGGTTCGGCATGGGTTTTGTAAGTTGAAAGTTCAAAAGTTCATTAAGCTTGATTTGAGGTGCGATTCGTCGTTTTGATGTTATTATATGTGTCATTGAGGCCTCGTGTAGGTCCGTGTTATGTTATGAGACTTGTTGGTATGTTCAGACGGGTCCCAAAGGGCTCGGGTTAGCTTCAGATCACTTTCAGACATTTCCTCCCATTTTTAGATTGCTGGGTTTTTTTGTTGATGTCTGCAGTGAATCGCATTCGCGTGGAAGTCATCGCGAGCACAAATAAGGAATTAGACTGGGCTATTTTATCTCCTCATGTTCGCGAGTGTTGAGTCGCGTTCATAGTGCATGTGGGACTTGAGCTTCGCATTCACCTTTGGGTAGTCGCGTTCGCGATGGTGAGATGGGAACTAGAGCATTTTTCTTCGCGTTCGCGAGACGTGGGCCGCGTTCGCGCTGTGTGGCATCTCTGTGCATTGCGTTCCCGTGGGAAGCATCGCGAACGCGTAGGGAATTTTTGGTGGCACTTCATTTCGCTCATCTCGAACTCGATGATTTGTCCGCGTTCGTGAAGGGTTTGCCTTGGCAGTGCTTATAAGTACTCTATTTCGAAGGTTTCAAACATTTTAGCACTTTTTGAGCTATGGAGATCAGATTTGGGCAATTTGGGAGGCGATTTTCACCACATAGATTGGGGTAAGTGTTTTCTACTCAGGTTTTGTTATATTTCATGAATCCATCTTCGTTTTTGGCATTTGATTGTTGATTTTGAAGAAGAAATTGGAAGGTTTTGTCTAAATTTTCCTAAAGTGGACTTTTGAGTTTTGAACACCGATTCGGAGTTGGATTTGAGTGAAACTAGTATGGTTGGACTCATAATTGAATGAGTTGTCAGATTTTGTGAGTTTTGTAAGGTTCCGAGGTGCGAGCCTGGGTTTGAGTTTTTGGTTAACTTTGGGTTTTTGATTAAAGATTCCACCTTTATCGATTGGGTTTGTTTCCTTTGGCATTATTTGATGTTCTTGAGTTGATTTTGGCTAGTTTTGAGCCGTTCAGAGGTCGGTACGCATGGGATGGAATTTCTAGAGTATTGTTTGGCTTGCTCGGTATTGAATTTGAATTGTTCGAGGTAAGTAACACTTCTAAACTTGGTGCTGAGAGTATGAATCCCTGAATATATGTGTTATGTGTTGGTGTTGAGGTGACGCACATGCTAGGTGACGGGCGTGTGGGCGTGCACTGTGTGAATGATGACTCGGTTGATTTTGTGGTACTGTGTAGTTATGTAATCTTGTTTCTATCCATGAAATTTCTACACGTTAGAGTAATTGAGTTGTGATCCATGTTAGAAATAATATTTAGGCTATATACTTATTCTGTTGGAACCCACTGAGGTTACTTCTGATGTTGAGTTATTTTCTTAAATTGTAATTACATACTCAGTCATATTCATTCATTTGCATGTCATAGCTCAGTCTTTGTTATCATTTATTATCACATCATGTAATCATTGTTAGGGCTGATTGGCATGAGATTTGTGAACCCGAGAGACTGGAGAACTTGATGACTGAGTGAGGCCGAGGGCCTGAGTGTATGTGATGATTATGGGATCGGGTTGCACGCCGTAGCATGCCATGTTATCTTATATTAGTGCATGGGCAAGATCCGCCTCTCCAAAGTCTGACATACCAGCAGTGACCGCAGTTACCGAGTGCCGAGTGATTGAGTGTACTGAGTGATTGAGTGTGAAATAGTGAGATTAAGTACTCTGAGAGTGTGAGTACAAGAGTTCATCACTGTAATGCATTACATTTGACATACATAATTGGCATGTAGGCATAGAGATGCATTTCCTCATGTTGTACGGTATTGTGACGCTCATGACTTCACATGCACATGGACATGTAGGCATAGAGACGTACTTTCCTCATGCTATATGATAATGAAATATCTCATCTGTTGTTGAAAGTGTTTTGGAAAAATTACAGGTTTATGATATACTCATATTTTGGTGATTTCGGTGAAAGATTTAGATTTTTTTTCTGTTATACCTGAAAAGCATGCCTATTTTCCGTAACTGTGAACGAGCTGAGCATCACATCTTTAAGTTATTACTTGCACAGTTTTTATTATATTGATATGAATTATTCTTGACTATTGGTGTTGGACTCTGACCACTGTCTAAGCTCGTCACTGCTTTCAACCTACGGTTAGGTTTGCTCCTTATTGAGTACATATGGTCGGTTGTACTCACACTACACTTCTGTACCTTGCGTGCAGATTTTGGAGCTGATGTTGCTGTATGTGGTGGGCGCTGGCATTGAAGATGTACCTGCATTCCAGTTATAACTGCCTCTTGTTCTTGGTAGCTTTAGATTTATGAATATGTTTATATATATTTCGAACAGATGATATATTTATTTCATACCAGCTTTGTAAGCTCTAAATCTTAGAAGCTCATGATTTGTACTACCAGTCCTTGGGAATTATTTGTATAAAAGTTCGGTTGTATTATCATTATTTCTCTTAGTAAATCTCATTTGAATTGGATTGTTGCTAATTGGCTTACCTAGCGATTTGAATTAGGTGTCATCACAACTAGTTGGATTTTGGGTCGTGACATCTGATTGGGTGGTTATGAGTTTCTAAACGTCTCTTTAATCATTTGCAGTATTGCGAGGGTTGGAATAAGTTTTATGTGTCATGGGGTATTACCGATACCGAATTTGGTAAGGAGCAGCTATTGTAGTCGAAAGATATTGCCATGGGCATATGGGTTGTTGACGACCAATTTTGACTCTCCCCTTTAAAAATAAATTTTTTTACACATATTGGCTAGCAATAAATATAGTAGAGTATTTTTAAAATTAATAAAATCTATTTTCTCAAAATATAAATAATACAATAAGTAACAATAAGTATAATAATAGTTAATAATATTAATTATGTAATTAATAACAATTTAGTCTTAAATATTTATAATTATACTACCTCTATTACTTTAATTAATTAAAAATTAGCTTTAATAATTTAATTGACGAGTACTCTGATTATTATAATTATTTTAATAATCTAAAACTAATTATAGTAATTAATTAGTAATATATTTTTTAATTATATTTTATTGAGATTAAATAAGTCTAATTAATTTAATTATAAAGGGGTTAAAAATTAAAATGGGATACAATTGCAATTGATTAACTTTGACTCAAACGGCCATGACTTAAATTAAATTCCATCCCAATACCTAAAGAATTAGCCCAAAACATAGGCCCAACGCCCTTGACCCGGTCCGGCCAGCCCCATCACTATCCTACTTGGCAATCCTTGCCACTCACCCTCAGCCAATCACAATGCGCCGCATCACGCCCTCCCAAACACTCGCACAACAAACACAACCAATCCGGACCGTCGATCAAAATTATCAACGGTCCAATTTTAATCCAATTTCCCTTTTAATTTTTCATCCCTCAGCATTTTACCTCCACCGTTGGATCAACATGATCCAACGACCCCCGTTTTATCCCATTTAAACCTTTTCTTTTCTTTTTCTCCCCAAAAATCTGGATTCGTTGATCAATGAAATCCAACGTCTCTCATCCAGTCTCTCTGTTTAATTAGCCAACCCCTTCCCAAACCCTAATCATTCCTTCAGAGATCAGCCGCCTCTCTTTCCCCTTCGTCTCTCTTTTCTCTCCTCCTCTCACCAGCTGCTAAGGAGGACCACTTGGTTTGCTGTTCCGAAGAAGGTCAGTAGATCACCGACCCGCTCCTTAATTATTTAAGTGTTCATGTATTATTATGTAGTTTCATTGGTTTGGTATTTTTCTGTTGATTCTTCTTCATGATATTCATTGGTCAAATGTGACCTTCAACTGTGTTTTGCTGCTTGTGTTATTCTTTGTTTAATTAATTGATAAATCCTTCTAAAATTATGATTACCTCCTATGTTGTTGTTTCAGTCGATATTTTATGATTAGATTTTGTTTTTTCTCATATTGATATTATCACTAGGTGTAGTGCTTAACTAAATGAAACAACATTATTATGATCCTTATCCTGTTAACTTTCTATATTAATCTTTGTGTTGGCAGCCTGTTTGATCCCTGTTATGGCTCTGTTAATTAGGTGACACTTACTGATTTCCATGCTTATATTATCATATTGATGGAATGATACCTATGAACCTTCATGCCACCTTGTTTAATCAACTAAGTGATTGTTATGCCTATACTATCATATTACTATGTTGGAAAAAAATTCTTACCATGTTGCTTCTGTGAATAGCTAATTGAATGATCCCCTTGGTTCTCTTGCCTATACCACCATGTTATGATTTTCATCATGATGTTTTGATTGGTTAGTTGAATGATTCCCACTGTCAGTCATGTTCATAGTATTATGTTGTGATCCATCTGTTAGTTTATCATGGTAGCTTGAGTAAATAGATGTTAACTTGTAAATTACATATCCACTCTACCTAGATTAGTTGTGAATAAGCATTCTTGTCATCTCATTCCTATATGGTATTTGAAAACTCTCCATAGGATCTTTCTACAATGTGTGAAGACATTGTTGGATCTGGTAACTTAAACGAGTATTATTCATCCTCAATGTGCATTATCATGTTTACATGCATGCCTATAGGATCTAAATGGTGAGACTAGAATTTGACCATTCTACTAATGTTTAATTCTCTCATATGTTTTCACTATTAGTAATGACTCCTTTAAAATAATTTTGAGTAAGATGCCAACATAAATTCTTAGTGTGACATAAAAATCTCAACTATGTGCTTTTTGTTTGATGTTAAAAGAAGCTGCTCTTAGGCTATTTTGGTGTTCTATAACTTATTTGGATAATTGAAAAGACAACTCAGTCTGATCAGATTCCTAAAAAGCATTAGATCTCTGATAAAGTTAGTAAATTAGTGCATATGTGTTTTGCTAACTACTGATGCCTTAATATTTGTAGTGGCAATCTTGAAATTGAAATTGTAAGTACCAGAGCCTATCTACAGGAGCATATAGTTAGTCATTTGTAACCTCTACTCGATTGTGTTTCAGTAGTGATTCTCAAGAGTGTTCTGTAAGTGTTGTGCTACATGAAATGGTTTAGAACAAACCATTAAGCCTTTGAAACTATTAAAACTTTGAGAATTCGCATGTGGTGACCTATCTTTATATATTGTGTTCTGATAAATAGTTTTAAGATCAAGCTTGTACTAGTTCTTGGTTGCGTAGTATTTTTGTACTCCAATGATGACTGCAATTCCTAATATGGTTGTTTGTTCCAAGTGGTTGGTATTTCTGTATGGCTGAATCTTTGAAAGGTCTTATGATGAACCTTCTGTACTTATTTGTTTCATGCTGACTATGTGAGACTGTCACGTTGAGATTCCCTTGTATCTAAACCTCTGTAGAATATTAAGGTTCAGTACTTACGGGTGTTTGGTGTGGGCTTGACTTTACCATTAAGGGACCTCTCCCTGACACAAGCACTGCTCGGGGGCCCAAGAAACCCTCGTGAACTCTGAAGTGCTCGGGATCCATAGAGGAACCTTATAAGTAAATATGGTTCACCCTAAGCCCAAAATTGCAGACCTTAATTAATCTTCGAGGGATTAGCACAAAAGAAATTTAGCTTTGTTATATTAAGATTATGTTTATTGTAAACTTTATCCTAATTCATTTTATTCTGCATATGCTAATTAATTCGTTCTCTTTTTCTTTGCATGATTGTTGGGCCTGCTGAATTCATTGGAAACTCAGGCTCAAGTTCAAAGAACTAGGTTACCCCCTTGCCGTATGCTGAAGTTTGCTGCCGCTAGAGCCTAGCGGGGCCTAACTAATTAGTCAGCCTAATATGAGAGTCCAATTTTCTTTCCCTTCATTTGAAGCGATTATTATTGTTATCTTATTTATGTATATATACTAACATTGATATTGGATGCTTACCTATTTTTACTTTAACCATTTAGGAAGACTTTAGGCCAATCAAACTAATAAAGTAACTGTGACCTGAAGGGTAATCGCTCTAATATTCATAACATTTTTTGGAAATTGAATGCCCTTTTATACTAACTGTTTAACAAATAATGATTCTTCTGTTTACTTACTTTTTTTCTAGTGAGTTTTTTTTTGGTTTTTAGGCCCTGGCAAAAATTGAATAAGCTTAAATAAGAATGTCCCTTTGAAAAGTTTAAAAACAAGTCGCCTAGTCAACTAAACATCTAGACTGTTTTAAGTAAAAGAAGTAAGCGCGCCACACCTAGTTAGATCTGATTTTTCAAGAACAAAACCAAACAACCTTTGGAATTCTCACTACTGAAAAATTGACCTATGGTAACACATGGAAAACCATTCCAACAGACAGTTAAACCGTTTCCATAGAGATATTGGAACGGTTTATCACTCGTTCCATCAGCCCGCTTGCCAGTAGAGCTATAGGAACAGTTCTTGCAATAGTTTGCGTCATAGTTTCTATAGAGCCATCTATCGCAATGGTTTTCCCTTTCTCTGTTGGAACGATTATTCTTTCAAACTGGAACAATTTAAAACTGTTACTATATTATGTATGCAACGGTTCATAACCGTTACCATATTATTTAATGCAACACTTATGTAAGATATTGTTACGGTTATAACAACAATAACAAAAAACTCAGTAGTTTCTCGCAAGTGGGATCTGGAGAGGGTAGGATGTACGCAACCTTACCCCTACCCCTGGAAGGGCAGAGAGGCTATTTCCGATAGACCCTTGGGTAGAGAATGACTGAAAAAGAATAAGGTAATTGCAACAAGTAGGAATAACAACAAGATAAAATAAATCGAATCCAAGAATGTAGTTAAACTCTAGGTAGTAATACCAATCTATGAATAAAAAAATATCACACTAACACTAATGCTAGCGAACTGAGTAAGACAAAGAGAAACTCTCAACTACCTACGAACCTTCTATCATAATTTTTGACCTCCACACCCTCCTGTCTAGGGCCATGTCCTCAGTCAGCTCCAGCTGCGCCATGTCCCGCATAATAATCTTTTCCCAAGACTTCTTAGGCCTGCCTTTACCCCTCCTGCTACCCACCGAGGCTACCCTCTCGCACCTTCTATTGTTATGATTATGTATGGATGTAATAACAGTGTTTTTAAGCTATTGTAATGGTATTATTTGTATAGCTACAGGTTATAATAAACTACGACAATAAAGGAAAAGCTATTGCATCGGTTTTAACTACCTTCATCTTCCATTTCTTGATCTACTTGTCATGACCCAAAATTTACAAGTCGTGATGGCACCTAACCCAACCCGATAGATAAGCCAACAGTCACATAATAATAATGAAATCGAATAAACATGGTCTAAAAACTCAACATCGGAAGAATGTCATAAAGTATATGAGAATAAAACCATAATGCTGCTACAACCAACCCAAAATTTGGTGTAAATGAATACACGGGCACTAGTGAATAACATGGTACGAGCACAATCCTCTAATATAATTGTATGAATAAATGAACAGTAAAGATCGAGATAATAGAAAGAGAACTTCTAGGACTGCGGATGATATGGTAGCTACCTCATAGTCTCCCAAAACATGGCAACAACTCAAGTCTAAAAATCACCTCGACTGGATGTCCCTGGATCTGGACATGAAGTGCAGAGTGTAGTATGAGTACAACTAACCCCATGTACTTAATAAGTAACAATACTAAACTTGGGCTGAAAGCAATGACGAGCTTAGAAAAATAGTCAAATGCTAATACCAATCACCTATAACAGTTCAGAATATAAAGGATAAATCGTAGAGAAAATAGCTCAATGATATCAAGTTCAGCTTGTTCACGTTTCAGAAAATTAGGCATGCTTTCAAGTATAACAGTTAAAGCCCAACACATATAAAGCAGGTCAATTATCAGTTAGCATGAGGAAAGTACATCTCTATGCCTACATGTCAAGTATACTATAACGACCAGACCGGTTGTTTTGAGATCTAGCACATCGTTCCGCGGTCTGAGGCCTTGAGTAGCTTCTCTTCAATATTTATGACTTGTAGGCCTAATGTGAATTGGATTTCGGGAAGTTCGGAGTTGATTCAAAATGAAAATTCTCAATCCAGAAGCTTTAAGTTGGAAGAGTTGATCAAGGTTTGACTTTGGAGTAAATAACCTCAGAATCAAGATTTGAAGGTTCCAATAGGTTCGTACGATGATTTCAGACTTAGGCATATATTCGGGTCGAGTATCAGGTGGTTCGGGGGCATTTCGGCGCTTATTATGGAAAGTTAGCATTTTAAAAGTTTTAGAATTTCCTAAGTTTGATTTAGAGTGGACTTTGGTGTTATCGATATCCGTTTTGGGTTCCGAGCCTTAGAATAGGTTTGTATCATGACTTTTGACTTGTACGTAATGTTTGGAGTCATTCCGAAATGTTTAAGTATGATTTGGATGCGTTTGTCAAAATTTGAGTGTTTGAAATTTGAAAGAAGGATTTTGATCGTCAATTCATAATTTTGAGGTTATTCGTGGAATTTTGAGCCTTTGGATAAGTTCGGATAAGGTGTTGAGACTTGTTGGTGTGATTGGACGGGGTCCCGGGGGCCTTGGGTGAGTTTCAGCGTGTTTTTGGATCATTTCTTCATTTTTTTCTACTGCTGTTACTAGTTCTGGTATTGTTTATCGCGAACGCATAAGGTTGGTCGTGTTCGCGAAGAAGGATTTGAGGAGGAGGATTTTTGTTCATCGCGTAAGTGATGGGGTCCTGCGTTCGCGAAGGTGTGAGCGGATGTGCCTGGAAGCTTGGCTTTTGCGTTCGAAGTGGAGTGGTCGCGTCCGCGAAGAGATGGCCTGGTGAAGCATCACGTTCTCGACTTCCGTATCGCATTCATGTAGAGGAGTTTTGCAGTTGGATCAGGTTGATCTTCACGAGCGCGAGGGTAAGGCCGCGTTCGCGAAGGTCGGACTGGGCAGTGTTATTTTAAATCGGGGGTTTGGCTCATTTTCACTTCCTTTCTTCTATGGGATCCTACTTTGGAGCAATTGTGGAGCGCCATTTTCATCATCAATCGTGAGGTAAGTGATTTCTATACGTTGTGAGTTAAATACATGAATTTAGGCTTATTAATTCAGGAATTTAAGTGAAAAATGTGGGATTCCTGGTAGAAGACCTAGAATTGGTATTTTTGGATTTTGACCACGAAATTGGGCATGGAATTAAGAATAAATGATATACTTTGGGTTCGTGGTGTTATGTATAATGTTTATTTTTTAATATTTTCGGAATCCGGGCATGTGGGCCAGAGGGTTGACTTTGTTGACTTTTCGAGTGGAGTTGAGGATTGTTAAAAATTGTTAAATTATAAGCATTGGAGTATATTTTGATTGATTTGCACGTTGTTTGACTAGTTTTAGATTGATGTGCATCTGTTTGAGGTATTAGAGAGGCATTGGAGCCGGTTATGGAACTTCAAAGCGAGGTAAGTCTCCTGTCTAACCTTGTGAGGGGGAAACTACCCCTAGGTGATGTATTTGATATGTGTTACTTGTTCTGAGGGATACTTACGCATGAGGTGACAAGAGTCCGTACATAGCTAGATTCATGTTTATGTTCGGGTACACCTAGGACTTTATCATGCAATAAATTGTATTACTTGAATTTAATTGTTAACTTAATTATTTGAAGAATGTCAGTAAAAGCTGATAAAGATCATGTTAGATCGAACCTCAATTCCATGAGCTATTCGGTAGGATAATCGATTGATGGTAAATATCATGTTTACATTACGTCTCTGACCTTGTATAGTAAATACGCGATTCGTAAGTCGATAAGTTTCTTCTCTTCCTGGGATCGGGCCGAACGCCTCGGCAGTATGTGTGTGTGTGTGTGTGTGTGTGTGTGTGTGTGTGTGTGTATATATATATATATATGAGATGCATCCATGGATCAGGTCGTACGACCTCCACAGTGTATGTACACGACTATGGATCGGGCCGAATGACCTCGGCATAATCCGTGCATAAAATCGCTAGGAGTCCGAATACCCACGAGATTACCCTCTTGATTAAACTTGGAAATTATGTAATATTCTCTTTATGACCTGAGATCGGATATCTAATTGATGGTTCTTATTTGTTGAGATAGCATATGGCACTTGGGGATTTTTAAAATGATGATATTTGTTAATGGATTTCGTTATCTACTGTTTTCTTATTCAATTGATTCTTGTATTTCATGCATGCTTATGATTCCTGCATTTTATTTATTGGACCGCTAGTAACTGTCGATGTCGATCCCTCATAACTACTTCTCCAGGGTTAGACTAGATACTTGCTGGGTACGCATTGATTTACGTACTCACGCTGCACTTCTGCACTAAACATGCAGGATCCGACATGTTCATTTGGTGGTCATCCTGGCACATAGGCGCAACTGTTGAGGGGACTTTATGGCGAGCTTCTTTCTATGCTACGCACCCCAGCCCTCAGAGTCTTCATCTTATTTATTTACTCTATCCTATCTATTTTATTTTCCTAACATATGTTGTATTATTATTGCACTCTTTAGCAGACGCTCATGTACTTGTGACACCGGGTTTTGGGATGTTCTAGAATTTGCTTATGGTTTGTTTTACATTGACACACTTTCACTTTATATTTTATCCAAAATGTATGTATCAACAATTTTTAATGCATTAATTTCTCAATCTAATAAGATTCATTATTTCAAAAATAATAAAATAAATAATTAAGTTGGCAGTTCATCGTTGGCTAGCCTAACGGTGACGTTGGCGCCATCACGACCTATAGTGGGTTTTGGATCGTGGCATATACATGGAAATCAGTAGTATCACAGTGGATCCATCAAAATATTTACACTTAGCACTGTATAGGTACCTGGCATAACTTTCCATCATCAAGCACGTATATAAAATACTGTGCCTGCGCCCACTGCTGGCATGTCAGACTCCGGAAGGGCAGATCCTGTCCAAGCGTTAATCACAATCATTAGCCCAATGGTAAGGCTGGTGCACGCATCGCCCCAAAATAATAATACTTCGCCCAATATGGGCCTGGAGTACGCA